AATAATGTTGTAAAACCAATTGTTATATTCAATTTAGATGATATTAATGAGAATGATTATTGAAAATTATTTATAAATCACATCATTTATTAAAAAGACGATTGCATTTAAAGAATATATTCTTGTTAAATTTATATTGTTTTTGGTTCATACAGATTTTTATTTTTTTGAATATAAAAAAATTATTTAAAAAAAATAATATTTAATAATCATGTGTTCCCAAAAACATTTATTTTTTAAAATTCTAAATAAATAAAATGTTATTTAACTTTTGTTCATCGCTTCCAAATAATAATTAGTTTTGTATAATTTATTTGTAAAAGCAAAAGTCGGTTATATGTGTGGTCAACTTTGGTTTCGGCAAAAAGGAACGTTGCTTTAAAAATTCGGCATAATTGAAAATAATGGTCATCGGTTGGCCAGTCTATTTAACATTATAGGTTGTTGATTTTTTTCAAAAAAGTTGCATTTCATTTCTGACAAGCAAAGAATTTTTTATTTCGACATATTATTATAAATTATTTAAAGTTTTCTGTTATTTTTTAAATATAAACGGGAAAACTCTGTATTGTAAAAAATATAAACAAACAATATGTCAAGCCCCTCAGTATTGTCAAGCGTTTAACTCCCCTTTCTGAACTCATTCTTGTTTTTATATAAAAAATAATTATAAACGTTTTATTGTAAAAATTAAAATTAAAAAATATTATTTTTCTTGTAAAAACTTATACAATGTCTTTAAACAACTCAATTCACTTATAATCAGTAGATAGCAATGTCAGTAAAAACAGATATTTTAAATTTATTTTGGCAAACATTTGTTGATACTTTAGACGTCTCAAAATATAGTTATGTTTCATAAAAATGAAAAGTGTGAACAAAAAAAACGCATTAAAAGAAAATAAATCATTCGAGACTATATCAAATGGCCTGAAGTGTCAAAAGACGCAAGTACCAAAATCAGAAAAAAATGACGAGGAATCAAACAAAAAATAAAAAGTACAAGAAGGTGGTTATTATAGTTGAAGTAAATGTGGTTGAAAATATAAAATTCAAAGTGTTAATATTTTTATGTTTCTTATGTTTTATATACTTCAAATTCTTTGGTAAATAAAATAAAAAAACAAAATTTGTATGGGCCAAACAATTAAAAAACTGACAATGACCACTACAAATATAGCAAACCGTTATAAATTATAAAGAACATGAATTGGAAAGGCCAGAATTTTGAATAAATTGTTAAATAACACCATTATATCCGATGAAAGTAGATTCTATATATTATATGACAACGAATGTGTCTGGAGGTATTATGAAAAATCCGTATAAAAGTGTTTAATTTAATTTAAAAGTTTTTTTTATTTTTTGAACTGTTTTTAATACTTTTTTTGATAAATAACCTTGATAGTTTAAATTTTTGTCGTTTTAATGTTTAAACTAAACATATAAATAAATAAAACAAAATTTAGTTTACAGATTTGAGTTTATATTTGTTTGTATGCGTGTAATAACAATCGTGTTTCTGGTATTGGAAGGGTTAACCAGTGCCATAAAAAGGTATATTTTATTGGAAATGAATTTCATTAAAACAATATGAAGAATTTGTAGCCCAAATAATCAAAATTATTATGATTATTACCATTTTTAATATAAGTGCCATAATTATTTATTAATTAAATGTAATCACTAGTAAAATATTATAAACCATAAACCTGCGAGTAGTATATATATAATTAAAATAATAATAATTAGTAGTAATTAATTTATTTTTTTAACTAAAACTAATAATAATAATAATTAATGTTAATAATTAAAAATTTTAATAGACAATTAATATAATGCTTTAAAAACTGGTATATATACGTTATTTAATAATCTAATAATTTAATTAAATCAAACTATAATATATTGTAAACAATATGCTGATAATAAACCTCTGTACATTAGTAGATACCAGGTATATTATTTATTAATAAAAATACAAAAATTAAAATTATTTTATAAAAATAAGTGTTTTTGTTTTTATTTGTTTTAAAAAAATAAAACAATTTTTATATTAATGGTTTTCTTCAATTTGTAAATACCAAAAATAACGAATTATCTTGAAACATACAAGTGCCCGCAAATTTGTACAATTTAAATTTGTTGTAGACAGTTTTTAATAATATTCAAAATATTGCCATTTTTATATAAATTAATAAAACAAAACAATAGATTTAGAGCATGACACTGGATTGGCGTTTTTTAGTGGATTGGTGTATAAAAGGAAAAAATAGACTGAAATATAGGACAACAAAAAATGAAAAAAAA